GGGGCTCTCGCTGCGGGTGGGGGAGTCGCCGCCGGAGGCTGCCAGCAGCTTGGTCAGGCTATGCCTCATGAGGCCGGCGGCGGGCGGAGGTAGGCCCCGGCCGCGAAGACTGGGCCTCGTGGGCCCCAAGGACCCCAGGCCCCAGCGCTGCAGCCGGGGCCTCCGCCGGCTCAAAAGAACGAGAAGGAGGGTCCGAGTCGCCTCCCGCCTCACTTGGCTGGTCGACCCCCCGCACCGGGGCGGGGGGAGGGATGGAAGAACGAGGTGGCGAGCTCGGCCCGGCGATGACTCGACCGCGCCACCCAGACAACGGCCTGGCCGGAAGTCGGTCGTTTTCGCTCCAGCCCCTCCCACCGCATTTCGCGCTCCTTCGGGCTGTAGTATCGCGAGAGTTCAGGGTGCTTTGGAGCGAAAGTAATTCCAGCTTTTCAGTGATGTCATAGTAACAGCGCCAAAAATAATAACAAACTCCAGATTTATCTCCCCTAACTCAATAGTACTACCCGATACTCAGACTCAACAATTCTGCCATATTTGCTTTTTCTATGTATGTCTGTAATTTTATTTTATTTTATTTTGCTGAATCATCCCAAATCTGCAGACAAGACACCACACCCCTTCATACCTCAGTATGCATCTCAAACTAAGAACATTGTTTTTCATTATAATACTATTATCAAATCCTGAGAAAATTAGCAAAAATTTACTCATATTATCTAATTCCTGGGCCATATTAAGATATCCTCAGTTAGCTAACGGATATGCTAATTACCCTGATCTGATCACTGTACACTATATGAATCGAAATATCACTATAGACTCCATTTATAGGCACAATTATTTGTCAATTTAAAAAAATTAAAAACACAAAACAATATAGTGTACAACATTGCTTGCCAAAAAAAAAAAAAGTCCTCAGTTCCTTCGATCTTTTATAAGCAGATGTTTTCTTTTGAGCCAGGATCCAATGAGTCAATTACTGCATTTGGTTGTTATACGGTTTTCTTTGTTTTGTTTTTTTCATTTCTCAAACTAAGATAGTTCCCTCCACTTTTCAAGTTTTCTTTACATTGGGTTTTAGAAGAAACCAGGTCAATTGTCTTGAAGAATGCTCCGCTTTCTGGATGTTTGTTTCTTCATGGTTTGTTTTTTGTTTTTAATCATTTTCCTTTAGCCCCTGTGAAAGTTATCAGAATCAAAATGGAGTCATTAATGTTCAAAAACAAAGAAACAAACAAAAATTCTGACAAAGGTCAGGGAAGGCCATGAAGAGAGGGTTCTCATGCTTGTATCCCTGAAAACAAAAACTATTACAAAAGACTACAAAAACCATAACCTTGCACAAAGGCCATTGTTAGGGTACAGATAGGGTGAGGGTGGATGGATGGATGGAGAGAGGGGCAGAGCACTGCTGGAGCAGGCAAGCCGGAGGTGCACACTGGCAACCCAGAGATCTGAGTAATGCAAAGATTTGCAACACACAAAGAGGTGAGAGAAGAAAAGATTTATTTAAGATAAGTTCACTCCCCACAGACTGAGAGCAGGTCTACACTCTAGGTGAGTGTGGCACTGTAGCCCCCTCCCCCAGTCCTGGCTTAAATCCTGTCCTCTGGAGATGTTGCAATCAAGTAGACATGACTGCTGTGATTCCTTATCAAACAACTGCGAATGTCTTGGAGAACCTGTGACACAGAGACCCATTAATGTCTGTCCATATTATCACAGCCCCTAGAGAGGGTTGTGACAAGGATTCCAGTGCTCCTGCACCTTCCCAAACGACATTCCTTATAGCTAATGGAGGGTGTTCTTCCTCTGAGTGATCACAGCTTGTAATTACAGACTTCTACAATCCTTGCCCAATGCATGATGTCTTAGGCCTTATAAATTCCCTTTACTCTAGGCAAACTTGATTGCCTGTATGAGATACCTCTGATACCTGGAAGTCTGTTTCTGAGAAGACAAAGTTGGCAAAGTTAATTTTTATCTAAAGTATGCATTTCTCTAAAACATAGCTTCCACTTCCTCATCATTGTGTCAGGGTTTACGAACAAGACGAAAAGTGGCTTCGCACTCTCGGTAAGCCATCACAACCTTATTCAAAAAATACTTTTGCTAGGCCGGGCTCGGTGGCTCAACCTGTAATCCCACGCCTTTGGGAGGCTGAAGTGAGTGGACTGCCTGAGCCCGCGGGCTCGAGACCCACCTGGGCAGGGGAGACTTCATCTCTACAATAAAATCAAAGAATTAGCGGGGCGTGGTAGAGCACGCCTGTAATTCTGGCTACTCAGAAGGCTGAGGCGGAAGGATCACCGGAGCCCAGCAGGTCGAGGCTGCTCCTTGGTTACAAAGATCAGTAACACAAGTTCAAGCAGTTGCTGGGCAGATGTCCTTGCAAAAAGTATTTTTTTTTTTTTTTTGAGTTGGAGTCTCACTCTGTCACCCAAGCTGGAGTGCAGTGGCATGCTCATAGCCACTATAGCCTCGACCTGCTAGGTTCAGGTGAAACTTCTGCCTCAGCCTTTTTAGGTTTAGGTGAAACTTCTGCCTCAGTTCAAGTAGCTGGAACTATAGGCACGTGCTACTACGCCTGGCTAATTTTTGTATTTATTGTAGAAACAAGGTCTCACCAAGTTGCCCGGGCTGGTCTTGAACCCGCGGGCTCAGGCAATCCACTCACCTCGGACTCCCAAAGTGCTGGAATTACAGGCTGAGCCACCAAGGCCAGCCAAGGATAATTATTTCAAAACAATTATGTAAGCCTCATCATTTTTTTTCTTTAAAAACCTTTGTCGTCTTCTTGAATAAGCACATAGTTTACTATAGCATGCGTACTCCTGTTGCAATACTCTGTTCCCAAATACACATCTTTTCTTTCTCTCCTTTGGTATTTAGGTTGACAACCACAACGGATTTGATATTTGAAGCACTCTACAAAATATATTAGAATACAGTAAAACAAGACAATCTGAATTTTTAAAAAGCAAAGTCAATGAAAGTATAGGGGAACTAGGAAGATAAGTTCCAAACGGAGGAAAGGTTAGTACTGGAATTTGGTGGAAGCAATATCTTACAGAGTCATTCAAATTAGCGTAAACATAGATTAAGTTTCCTGGCAGCACAAACAAACAAAAAAAAGGGGTGGGGGGAAATTCCTTTGTTTGGTCACGAGTAAAGTAAACATGTGAATTTTTTAAGCATTTTTCTAGTTCTTGAGTTTCAAAGAAACTTCTCTATGGGATACTAAATAATGTAGCCAATAGCCTTAACAAGCTATCTTTCATGTGACTATATCTTGGAGCTAGAAAGCAAGTTGCCAGAAAGCTGGACACTGATAGGTCTCAAATATTGATAAACGTGCTTGGCACAGCATAGGCTTCAACAAACATTATGTGAATGAATGTCTGCAGTTTTGGCTGAAGGCATAACACTAAAGCTCAACTGAATAAAAACAATTCTGTAAGGTACAAAAAAAAGCATGACTTATGGTATCTAGAATAATAAAAGGACTCCATGTCTTTCTTAACCTTCCCATCAGGAAAGGTTTTGCTAAAGTAGAATGGCACACAGTTCAAAGTGATATACAAGGGGCCACACACCCCCCCATCGTGGATGAGTGGGCCCCTTGTAATATACCTGGAATTTGTTCCTCCGGATCAAATGGTCAACCAAGTTTTTATCTGGAAGTTTTGAGAAGGTTGCATCGTGTTTTGTAGGAGAAACATCCCAAGTTGTTGCAAACAGATGACTGGTTCTTCTACCATGACAATGCATCTGCCCACACCATGATGAGTGTTCAGCAGGGTTTGACCAAAAATGGCATGACCCCCATGCCCCACCCTCCCTATTCACCAGATCTCACCATGAACAACTTTTTTTTAGTTTCCCTGGATTAAAAAAAGTCCTCAAAGGGAAACGTTTTGCCCGTGTGCAAGAGGTGAAACCAAAATAGCACTAAAAGTCATCAAAATTGACAAGTTCAACAACTGGAGCAGTTAAAAAAGCATCTCAATTGGTGCATTTCATCAAACGGCACTTTGAAGATGATTGACGTTTAAACATGTAAGAATACATAACTTTTTAATAAATAAATTCCGGGTTTTTGGGGGTCCACCTTCATATATACTCTGGCTTGCCTTGAGTACAGGTGTAATCCCAATCAACTACATTTTCTCCTTAGGCAAAATTCAACATTTATGGATTAATTTATTATATTTTTTCTAAGTTATCACATGTTGGTTCAAATATACATGGTTTAAGTCTCCGACGGATTAAAAGGAAAGCAGAAAATTGAAAAAGAAGAAAGCTTTTAAAATGTAGCCTCACTTAAGGCTGGGCGAGGTGGCTCAAGCCTGTAATCCCAGTACTTTGGGAGACCAAGGCTAGAGGATTGCCTGAGCTCAGGGGTTTGAGACTAGCCTGGGCAACTTGGCGATACCTCGTCTCTGCAATAAAGAAATAAAAAAGTTAGCTGGGCATGGTGGCATGCACCTGTAGTTCTAGATACTTGGAAGGCTGAGGCGAAAGGATCGCCTGAGCCCAGCAGGTCAAGGCTACAGTGGCCACGAGCAGGCCACTGAACTCCAGACTGGGCAACAGAGTGAGACTCCAACTCAAAAAAATAAAGAATAAAAATATAATAAAAAAATAAAATAAAATGAAGCCTCAGAAGAAAAACAAGCACCTGAAGCAAGAGTAAACCTTCCAGAAAATGGCTGTTTCTTCTTTCACCCTTCCTCCTTTTTCCTTTCCTCATTCTCTTCACACTCTCCTTCCTCACAGCTGTTTTGTGTGTGTGTGTATGTGTGTTTTGGTTATAACAATCATTGGAAAAGATTTAGATCGTGTAGAAGTGAATAATTAGAAAGATCATACTTACAATCTAACCTGAAACAACTGTTATTAAAATGTTGGTGTATACTATCTACATCCTCTGATGTTATTTCCTCAAACATGTCCACGCTGGGCCTGACTACCCCACTGACTTATGCCATATATTAAATTCTTACATACACTTGTATCTATTTGCGGACTTTTTCTTCTATCTCTTTGATCTGTCTAGCAATTCTGAAAGCAAAATTATTCCACTTTTTATTAGATTTTATAATGCATTTTAATATCTCACATGACAAGTCCCTTTTTGTTACTTTTACTTTCTTAGTTTTCTAGCTCAACTTAAATATTTATTTCTCCATATAAATTTAGGTAATTTTTCAAGTTCAAAAAAAGTTACAATTTTCACAGAAATTGCACAAAATTTATTCATTTCTTTTTCTCAGTTTTTGTGTAAATTTTGC